TTATAGAATCTTGGCTAAAGAAAAACAAATATTTGGAAGCATGGTTATACATATGTATTTAAGTATATTCGAGAGGCGTGAAAGTTTAAAGCAAGAGAAAAGCATCGTATGAATAATAAATGAGACTCTCTCGAGACGAAATAGAAACAATAAGCGGCGCTAAGTGACGCGATGAAATTATATACAACTTTTCTCACGAAAACGAGTTTAAGGAAGAAATCATTCTAACAAATAACCGTGTTTCGTGCTCCAGAAAGTGGAAAATTAAATCTAGCTACTGATTTTCCTCGACTTAATCTAGTCCTGATCAACATATTAAATAATTAAAAATATCCTAACAAAATGTATATCACAAAATATTGAAGAAAAAGTAATGTTATACACATACAAGCTAGTTTTATCGATGAAGGTTTTAGTTTCTTGGACTGAAATGGCAAGTTTGCCTTGTCACAGTAACATAATGCTGAAGTATACAATGACGAGTTGTACTCGTCGTAACGTTTGAGGTACATATTACATTTCATACGAGACAATTTTATAATCATTATAATCACGTCCTTTCCCTTTCGACTGTTAGCAGCAATATAACGAGAGTCTATGTTTGCATGAAGAAATTCCAAAGTATGTACCGCTATTAAGTAACTACTTGTACAAGTATTTATAGGTACTTTGGAATCATCAGATTCTAAAACACAGCATTTACTCCATCATTCAACAATTTATTTCTTACGACACACACATATGTATAAGTCACAATAGCGAAGGGGTCATAGAGGGTTAAGAAGTGTCGTGCCTACAAAGAGCATACGTAACAAGGATATATCAATTTCATCTTTTTTCCTTCTTACGAACAAAGAGGCGTAAGGAAGCCGTCTTCTAATCAGAAAATTAGACACAATATAGACACGTGGGTAGAGAACTCGAATTAGACGGCACGTATACGAGAGGACTGGGGTTCACTGCTGTTTCTGGTATCCAGATCCGGCTTGGATCTCGTATACAATACATCTAAGCTTTTATCAGACTGAAGAAAACCACTGTCCTTGATTCAATCGCAATCGGAACCTTGTACCCGTAGGTGAAAGTATAGGTACTGAACGTTTCTTTGTTAATAGTTTATAGGTATAATGAGAACGAATTTTGTGAAATATTTGGTACTTATTTAAAGTAAGTATTACGCCGAAACTGCCAAACCGAGAAAGCCTACGGAAGAGACTGATATTTTGTATTAAATGAAACTGAAAATTTTAAAAAATTCAACGAATAAACATTATGAAAATAATGCACTGATATGTTCTTGACGTCTCCACCTACTCATTTTTTCCATTGAAACTTTAATGATTCTCTCCTTGTAAATCTACATCCATTACTTTCGAGGTAAGTACACTTATTCAGGTTTAAGAAGATCATTAATGAATCACTTTTTTAAATAAAATCATCCTGTTAAGCTTCCTATGTATTTCAATCATTATCATTTTTATATTTTGTCTATAAAAAAATAATTGATTTTGAAATGACCTTTGAAGATTCTTCACGATGTTCACATTTTCTTCGTACATTACCACGTTCTTAAAGTAACGTTTGACATTTTATAGCATCGAATACATTTCCATAAACTGTTTTATTGTTTCAGTAGCCTTCGTGACATTTATACGCTTTCAACACACTCGTTGATGTATTGTTCCTTCATCTGTTTTTTTTCTTAGATATGTAGATCAATTCTTTTATTCTTAATGAATAATGGTGGTTGACGTGGTTATTAGGCCGAAAACCTTGAAAACTTGTTTAACCGAAAACCTTATTCGTAATCTGTAAAATACCTTGTCGTATTTGTCTTCTCCGAGCAGGAGGGGGAGCGCCGGTTCGTCGTCTCCTGGCGTAGGTGTGAACCGGTACGATCAGCCTCGGTCTCGGTATAAGGAATCCACCTTGGTTATTGCCAGGTTGAGTCACCTCGGATTCGCTATCCGTGCTGGCAGTACTGCTCGATCTCCTCGACTCCGAGTCCTCCCTATTCGACGAACTCACTCTGCTACCCTCCAGTACACCCTCTAGCTGAGAGATCACCTCAGCGTAGGGTTGCCTATACTCCTCATCTTGCTCCTTGCTAACCTTGCTTCTCTCATTGCTCGTCCAATTCACACCGCATTCGCGCCAGCTGGCCTCGTACAGCAACTCCATCGCTCTTCCTCGAGTGGCGTCCGGGTCTAAGAGGAGTTCAGGGTCCTCCAGGACCGCCCGGCCGGGATAACTGCGGACCTTCATGCCTGACTCACTCTTCAAGCTGTTCAAATATGTATAAATATTTTCCACCAGCTGAGCCAATCGTACCAGTACGATTTTCAATGAGATTTTTAATACCGGAGGTCCTAAGGTCCTCAAGGTCCTCAAGGTAAGATTTTACACATGATTCACTTTTGATCAGCTAGCTGGGATACAATAACCAAGAACTGAACAAAGATCTATCGATGGGAGTCATCAACTCACTGAAGATCTTTTTCTTTTCAAGATTCACCGTGGGAATGAAATTCGACCCTACAGTGTCGATTTGGCGCTGATCCAAAGGAAGACAGATGATGAATGCCTTCTCGACCAGATCACTTCTGTTTGACTTCGCGTCACAGCTCCAGTCAAAATTCGCACGGGATAAATTATGGAGGGAAACACGTGCTTCTTCGTGGTCGAGGTTCAAGGGCTGGACTTCCCTTGACACCTGGCACGGATGCTGCGGTTTCTGATTACTATCAGCTCCGCCAGTTATTTTTGATCCTTGGATCCATAGACTATACACGATCACTGTGATTGGATGGCTATCTTTATTTTTTCCTCGGTACACTTTTGCAACTCGAGGTCTATCTTGTAACAAGAACCGTCAAGTATCGGTTGGTTACGCAACCAGATCCAGTAATCGAATAATAAGAAGGCTGCCAGTTTTCACTAACACGAATTTTTTTAGCCATATAGCTTATTTTGAACGAGGAAGAATGGAATAACGGAGTATTTCTTCATCTGACAAAGGAACAGAATCCTGGCGTCAGACGAACGAGGACACCACAGGACCACTCCTTTGAAACTGACGCTCACTGACAGCGTTCACGACTGGTGAAAAGTACGCCCGCAAAGACCGTGCACGAGAAACTCCCTTCCCCTCCGACTACCAATCCCCCCACTATGTCTGCTGTTAGGGAGAGAAAGGACAGCGGTTCTCAAGTGATAGCGAGGAGACTGTTGCAACCAATCCTACGAGTATACTGGGTGTTCGTGGCAGTGTAACGTGATGCAAAATTTTTTTCAACACTTTTTCGATGCACTGAACTCACGCTGTACATATGCATTCTAACGGAAACAAAGGATAGTGGTTCTCAAATAATTATCATAAGATTGTTGTAACTATTCTGTAAAAATATATAGAGAAATAAAGAAAAATTTGTCTTTCATAGTCGTTGGTTTCATAAATTACCTATGATTAAAGTGACGATTGTAATTTAATTATACTGCAGAATGCAATTTCTATTTCACAGTCTCTGGTTTCATGGATTATAATTAAAATTAAAATTATAGTTCACTTATAGTGAAAAATGCAATTTCTATCACATTTACATCGTAATCGGAAAGTTGAGAACCAATCTCGGCGCATCAGTGAGAAAACGACTGATAAGAGTAGGTAATGCCAGGTATATTTTCCTTAATTTACTTGTTTGTTCCCCTTAAATCGCGGTGAAATAATATACCTTAATTGTGAGAAGAAGATCGAAAGGTAGACTGCGGATGTTTGTTAGATAGTGAGAAGATTACAGGCAAAAGTGGAACAATCATGGCTAGGGATTGTTTTTTTTTTTACTTTTCACGGTTGATTCAGCAGTATCTCTGTTTTATACTCTTCTCCAACATTATCTGTCTTCTCACAATAGGTACTTATGATTTTGCATTCTTGTACAATTGTACGAAATAATCTATTTCGTTGCAATTTTCAGTGTTAAAGAAATTTTCTTTTTTATGTTAACATATTCCACTTTAAATACTTTCAAAATGCTATCTAATTTCACTTTAATCGTAACACGAGTAAAAGCAATTTTCTATTTTTAAAAACGGAGATTCCCTTCACTTTTTTAAAATTTAAAGTCAGTCTTCGTGTTCAAGTTGATAAAAAGACTTATCATTTTATAAATATATCTTAATCGACAGATTAATTGTTATGCTATTACGGTACACGAACTTCCGAGAGAAAGGACAGCAGTTCTCATTTCGACGTTAGATAATACCAATGCATTTTATATACATTAACTGCATCATTGAATGCTAAACGGGATTTTCATATAATATGTACATATCTTGCGAAAGGAAAATTCAATGGAAAGGAAAATTATACAGGAAATCGTACCTTATTACTTCATGTACCTATTTTAAAATGTTTAGATTCAAGAACCCTCTGGGAAAGTATGTAATTATAAATTTTCATCATAATGATGATGGATTTTGCAAAGGAAAATATGATTTATGTACTGTGCACATTAATATGTAACAACACAATTTAATTCTCAATTCTTAACATTACATTAATGCTGTTTTCTGTTTGATTTCTTTCAATTTTTGTTTTTCAATTACATTATTATAGGTATTGCAAATTTACTTTAAAAAACAATACATATTTTTCTTTGCATTTTTATTTCCTCCTTTCACATTTCCAAGTTGTACAAAATACAACATGCACGTGTTTATTATCACGTATAACTTTGGAATTCCCGAAAAGACACGTTGCTCCTCTTTAATATTTTGCAAAGCTGACGCACGAATTGTTGCAAAGACGTAAACGTGTTTGACTGACTGAGAAGAATTATTGAGTATGCAAAAATACAGATAACAGATGATATTTAGAGCTCGTTACTAATGTTGGTTTTGAAAAATTAATATATGATATGATGTTGAGTTATTATTAGGTACAAATGGGATGACTATATGTATAAAAATAATTTTGGACAAGGGAAAAGTCAATGACTTACCTTCCATAACATATACAATAGACCCGACATCTCCTTCTCTTATAATGGTAGATCCAGCTGAAAACGAAACAGGATACATGCAATCCACGATTTCTCTGATCTGCGTCAGCTCCAGGTTCTTCATGAAGTCATTGTCCAAAATGGCAGCTTTGATCAGTTCACGAGATCTTTAACATAAAAAGAGGTACGTTTTTCATTTAGACTGAGGAAATTATTTATTTTTGATTGAGGAAAGATGATAGTAAAAAATAAAATAATTTCAAGTCTTGTTGATCTCAAGATACATTTTACACATTTTTACAAGATACTCTATACATATGACACTTAGCAAATCATTTCACGAATCACTTGTTACAGCACATTAGCATTGCAAAAGAAACGCTGTAACAGGTTCAAATCAAGGAATTCTAAGTACCTCTAATGGTAATGTCCAAGTCAACAACTCATGTCGTGCATATAATATCAAGTACAGACAATGTTCCGAAGGTAATGCTCTCATTTATTCTCGGAGCGAATAACATCAAAAGCGCCGAACTATGTTTACCATGGTCCGCACCTGTTGCACACTTTACCATACCGCAAGCTGTGCTTTGAAAAATAACTATTCAACAATCTAACCGTAGTTTAATCATCTATTACATATTTTAAATCCTCCTGCGTTTGAGAAACATCAATTCTAAGGATGATGTTTAATAATAATAATAATAATAATTTTTCTTACAAATGTGAAATTTGTCAAGAGTAAAATTATTATGTGATGAAAATTTTAACTAATTTAACTTTTAATTAATTTAAATCTGAAATCTAAAAAGAATATATATTTTTTATATAATACTTTTATTATAATTTATTTATGTCAAACTTTCAAAAAAAGATAGAAAGTTGAGGTGAATGGGAGAGGGTTAAAGAAATAATCCAAGAGAGTTAAAAAGCCACGTGGCTTGCATTGGAAACAGTTTCACTGTATCCAACTCTTTGTCACGTACCTTTGCGGCACGGTAATTTGTATAGGTGAAACTATGAGTCTGATTTACGTAACCAACGACTAAATTTCACTCTTAATAATAGATAGCTATGGCAATCGTCAAGTCATCGATCTCTCCGGTTGGCCTCGAATTGAAAAGAAGGATCATTTTTATGGATTGTTGTTTAATCAATTAACTTTATAATATTTTACCTAAATGTACTTATATCTTCGTATAACACAGTATTAAATATAGAAAAGATTACCCAACCATGCTACCACGAATTCGGTCACCCTGTAAAAACATCGTATCACATCAAAAGATTCGAAAAAAAAAGCTGGCCGTCTATTAAAATGTGTGCCTAAAATAAACCAAGAGGAGGAGATCACCTCACGCGATGAAACCAATAAACTTTCTGTACCTTTGAGGCTTTGGAAACTTCTGAACGATCATACGGCTGTCCCTGGCGAGCGGTTCAGCTGAAATAGCCTGTCGCTTGGCCCTCTGACCAGAAGCAATGCCGCTGGAGGCCAAACTGAAATCGACAATTTGCCGAAACTTGTCAATCTCATTTTGTAGATAGCGAATCGTAGAGTCCCGTTCTTCGATTGTTTTCTCTAGAATCTCTATCATTTCATCCCGACGACGAAGAGCCTCTGTTCTTTCGTATAATAGTCTCTTCAGGTCTCGTATGGAATCCATGGTTTTTGGAGGATCTTTTGCCACTGAACACTTTAACCCTTTACCTTATAACGACCGGTTACACTCGTGTCACAGATTATAATTAAATTAAGTTGGGTTAGAATTATTTGTGTAGAATAATTTTTACATCAATGAGAGAAATAAAGGTTACTTTAAACAGGTGTCAAAGTTTTAACAAACAATAGTTTTATCGATTAAGACAAAATAAACTATTTTGCTGGAAAATATACAATTTACACACAGATGTGTAACGATAAACTTGAATTCCCGAATGTTATCTTTAGAATGTTAGAATTTGATAGATCGTTCTAGATCGCTGGATTCGAGATAGCTCATTTTCATTCGGAAGATAAGTTATTTTCGAATTGACACTGACTTCTACGGTGGAATGTACCGACATTTATTACTACATCCGAAGACTGAAATAGATTTCATAGATCATAGATTTAGTTCCGTTACCTCTATCATTTTGCTTGCCAAAATTTCATATGATTTCATTTAGAAATAATAAATTCTTTGATTATCTAATGAACGCAATTAAAAATATGAAAAGAACTGAGCCAAATAGGATTAGCAAATATCAAAATTAAAATAATAAGAAAATGTCAAAATTGAAATAAATATGCTATGAATTTTCTTCTCAGTTGGGCCAGGTCCCATAGAAATTAAGAAATTAATCTCTGGAATTTTATTTTTAATATTTTTAATATAAAATTAACAAGCAATGTATCACGACTTTATAACAGTTTCAAGAGGTCAGGGTTCTTGAACTTCTAGATTGAGATTTTATGCAAAGCACTTTCGAAAATGACCGCAGAATAACAATGATTGACATCTTTGTAACAGAAAGTAGTTGTTTCTCAACTGGACATCGAAACTACTACAACACGTTCAACTGCTTATAAATAATTTTTGTTATTTATCATTTAATTTAATTTAATTTAATTTGATTTAATTAAATAATCAAGTATTTCTCAATATCAGTAAGCTTAAAAGGACTTGAATAGGTTCACTATTTGTAGGTATATTTTTTAGATATTTCAATTACAAAAAAGAAAAAAGTTATTTTATATAATATAATTATAGAAACTTACAGTATTTATATTTAACTGCCAATAATATAAGCTTCGCAACATTATTGGCTGTTTCTACAACTGTTAATTCCAATTAAATTAATATAATAAACAATTACTGAATTGTTTTTATTATGTAGCATGTTTACTTGAATAAAATTGTAAAAAAATTGGAACGTTTAAGAACATCGATTATAACTACATTAAATTATATATATTAATTTTTGTATGACAAAAATCAATACACACTGCTAAAAGAATAAAAAAATTTTACATAGTTGAAAAAATTTTCAATAAATACAAAACAAATTGTTGAACACATTTAATTAAAGGTGCAACGAGTAACGTTATTTTTTACACGGATATCGTAATCTTTATCTTTAATTCGACAACAGAATTGCCACCCAAAATCCCACGCAATCACCTAATCAATACACGTAATACGTAATCACAAATCACTTTTCACAAAATCCTATAAACTTTTCCCTCGATTAAATTTCTTTTTCTCCAAAAATAATAAACACTCTCGATTTTTTTATTGTTTCACATTTAAAATTAGAATTTTTTTTTTTTTTATAATTTACCGAACGTGCGATAAAATAAAATTAGTCGTTGTTTTTTGAGAAAACAGAGATTTGATCGATCGATCGCGATTGAAGGTAAGGAGAACCGCCACTTGAGGCAGTCTCTGCCGAACTGACAAGAAAATCTCTTGATTTATTCGAAAGAAGTCGATGCTTGGCTGATGACTGTCGATTAGAGTGCTCCTATGAGGAAAAGAATTAACTTTGTTCGGTATTACTAGATAGGCAAGTGGATTTGATGGATATTTAATGATACTGTAGAAATTGAAATAAAATTGCATACGCGATTAGGGGTAGTTAATTGTATCCATTTAAGTTTTTTCAAGGTGAAAATTCGCGTTTCGTTTCATGGTGTATCAGGGTTGAATTAAGGTGAGGTCTAGGAGGGAGGGAGTTCTAAGCAGTTCTTTCTTTTACAAATATAATTTTAGTTTCAATTTGAAGTCTAATGAATTGATATTATAATTTTATAATTGATTCTCCTAAACGAATTAGGGTTTCCTCTAAATCCAAGAACATCAACCAACCACAAACTCCAATCAATTCACCAAGTTTCATAGCACAGTCTCGACTGTCATTCAAAACACTACATATATTAATTGGTTTTGTATTAACAACTACGCGACACGGACGAGGGAACGGTGAAGCACGACTAGCACCTGAAAGGTTCACCGTCAAACTGACTGAGAAAGGACCACGCGGACGGCTAAGGCTTTGACGGTCTCGTAGGGTGGTTACGACTAACGAGCAACGAGTTCGCGCACGGTCTATTTTTGAGATATAATCGCGACTCGCGCTTCCTCGACGAGCAAGCTGCGACGAGTTGTTTCGAAAAAGGCCCCCTTTCACCATGTCCTCTAGTCGTCAGCGCATGACTAGCCTCCCCCTTTGGACATCGACCGAATTAGTCTTCAAGAAATTCCCACCATTTTTATGGTCCAATGCAAGTAAAAATAAGAATCCTCGAAACGTGGAGGTAACAGGAAAATTCAATGATAGCCTCAAAAGAACCCAACTTTGACATTCTTCTTACATTTCTTCTTTCTGGACATTCTGGGGAAAATCGAGGTTCTTAGGACTCTTTAAGTGGTTGCAAGTGGTTGCAAGTGGTTGTACTTTATACAGTACATTGAATGGAAATCTTAAAACAGAATACAGTATATTGAAACTGTGGTAAGTATAACCATATACATATGAAGGATATACTTCAATAGGTGATAAATTAGGGAGACATCATCGCCTGTCGCAATCAGTTGCGTGCCAGATCTTCCTCATTTTTCATTCTTTTGATTTATTTTTAAAATGAGGAAGATATAGAGGAAGATTTAAAAGATACTGATTCAAGGAAATCTAATAATGGACACAAAAGTGTCTCGTTAATTAAAAACATGAAAGAAGAAACTCTAAAAATGAATTTGTAAAAACTATTCAAATCTATATAAAATATAAACAAGATTTTGAGATAAATAAACAAATTTTAGTAGTTATTTAAAACTGACAAAGATTTAAAAATAGATGATGTCAAATAAAAATGTTGAAACGTTTCTGAAATGAAAAAACGATCGTGAAAAAAGAAAATAAAATGTCAAAAATTTCAAAACAACATTACAATATAAAAATTACTACTTTGATGACATAAAAGTACCATTACATCATGGTGGTCAGTTTCAACATCCTCCTGAAGATAAGATTAAGAATTTAATTAGGATGCACGTTTGTTAAAGGTATATCGCTAACATGTTATTTTTAGCAATAATCGAGAAGATCACCATTGATTTTTATAATGGTTAAACGACCATTAATACATATGATTCAAGGAAACATTATACGACCTATCATTGACAGATAATGCTGTAACCATTATTTTTATGTAAGTACTCCACTTCTATTTATAGTATATCTCTTGGATGATAAGTACGAGCAGAATATTAATAATATAAAATATATTTAAACGTCAATTTAATGACTTCATTAATGATGCATTCATTATCATACATGCAGTGTCCTTATCTTTTTTATTTAAATTGCTATAATTTTCTTTTGTTGAATCCAATTAAAAATGATGTATTTTCTGTTAAAATTATGAACACCTACGAATGAAATAAAAAAACAATAAATACGGTTTAACCAGGTAGCAAATAACGAATGTCAGGGGATACCTATACATCACAACCGCTGCGTAACTGCATAATTTCCTACCGATTACTATTCGTTGTTTTTTTGCCCCTCTATTTTTATTACGAAACACCACGGAAAAACGAATCGTTGACAGGAAATTATAGCCATCGGATCGATGGAGACGATTAAACCAGGCGAGGGACGAGCAGGATTTCACGTTGCCCGTAACTTTTGTACGATTCGTACATGAACGGAAAGCTTTGCCGCTATTCCAATTACGATAACGTTATAAAATTCTTTACATACTGTTGTAATTAACACTGGAATTATCGATAACATATATTGTATAAGTTGTTGCATGTCAAATGGTGGCTGTAGAAACATAGAAACAGGTTTATACAGGTATAATTTTTTTAAAACTATTGCACTGAATTTCTTATCCACTTCCGCTTTAACCCTTGAACAGCGGAGTCCAGATCAATCGAAATTGAAACTTACAAAACATGAAATAGAAAATTACATTAACATTGGAGCCCTCCCCAAATGAGCCCATTTTATTTTATATACAAAGTATCTCTTCTTTCGGACATTATAAGCAATTTAGTGGCTAAAAATCCATTGTTCACGCTTGTTACCCTATTGCTCGTCGCTGGCATCGTTCCGACAAGGATGCACGTGGTTTCCAAACGGAGACCTTGCCTCACTTTTGAAGGTGTACCCAGAAGACAATAGTGAACACGATCGTGTGTCAGCTTGCACGTAGGCATGATCCTTCGACCGACCGATTACGGGACATCCCGTTTGAATTATTTAAACAGCGTACAACGAAACCTTCGTGTTTCTGTTTCGCAATCAAGACGATACGCATACCGTGATGGTGGATTTTTAGGGAAAATACGAATCGTTTTGCATACCGCCTTACCCGACTAACCACCGCGAACCCCTGGCGGATATCATGCACGATCCGCAAACGAATGAGGGGGTTGGATGAGAATCCTTTTATTTTATTATTCCTAACCTTTAGAATACTGTGGACTGTAGTCAAGTTAGGGCTATGCATATAATTAAAATTTAAGTTCCAGTACGTCTCGATCCTTCGGCCTTAAGATTTTAAATAATTGTAAAACTGAGTATGCGCCTCTTATGGTCATTAAAGTGTTAAAACTTGTTAATAAATAAGCAATGAAATTCAGTTTCTCACTAGTGCCGTTTCAATTACCATTCACCTGGAAACCAAGTCATGGACTGGAGAAGGTAAAAGTTAAGATAAAAGATGTTGGTGGGAGTTCAATAGTAGATCGAGGTCAAAAGGAAGCGACTGAATCCCGTCCAGACGAAAAATTGCCCTCATACTCTTTAGTAATCGCTCCAAGAACATGATTATGCAACATTTCAACAGTTCCACGTAGGTGGGATAAAAGGAAGTTGTTCCATTTACCCGTGTTTCGCTTTTACTAATATCTATAGCGACGATGACGAACTCTAGGGTGCCCTCAGGCGACGTATTACCTCGATTTGGCAGAAATTACGAAATCCGGTGTATTGGTAAAGATGTCGGGTTTTTGTGATGGTTACACGCAATTAAGGGGGCTACACAAAATTCTGTTTCAATATGAACAAAAATTTATATTTTCATTATGAAGAATAACACTAATAAACCAGAATACTATGTACGATTTCAACACTGAATCAGTACCTATATTTACATGCAAAAATGAAGACCATACAAATTAATTATAATCACGGGAAATGAATTATGCAAATATACATAATGTAAAAAACATTCAGATAAGTCAAATAAGAAAGAATTAAAAGAGAAATGTGTATGAATGTACATCATAAATATTAATACTCTTGCATAAAGCTAAACTTCAAAAATATCATATCAATTCAACGTATGTTTTCATATCATAAATTACTAAATTTGAATTCAAATAACAAAAAACTGAAATCTGAAGTTAAGCAGTATAATACCTTCCTTGGATAAAAAAAATATACTAAAATCTGTAAACGATCTTCCACCATTTGTCTTTAGTTTTAGGAGAATTCTAGGGGAACTTAAAGAGAGCCCAGAGGACATGTTGACTGAACTTCAGTCAAGTACGATAAGTATCCCTAGAAAAAAATGGCAAAATAGGGGAAAACACGGTAACTTTCTAGCAGGACTCCTTTTCCTAGGGAACACTTATATCATCAACTTGTCCCCTAGGGAAATTTCATTATGTATCGACTGAGTCGAGGCAGAAAATGAAGCACAGGAAACAACAGGTGGAGACACAAGGTGAAACAGTGGTCGCGAGAAGGCGCCACTTACTAGTTATCTCGAGGGGGCGCTAATTCTCTCGTTCTCTCGTGGTTTCTCGGTTCGGAGCTTGTCGTCCGGCAGCCTGTGCGGTTTTAACTTTTTAAAATGTCGCCGATGGCCGTGACAGGGTCTATTTTTAGCCACGGCGAGATAAGCGTGGCGGGAAGACGGACGAGGAGGGACCGAGAGCGAAATAGAGAGAGGGAACTTCCGTAGGAAAGAAAGAAACGGCGATATATCGAGAGTGGGACACACTCAGTAGCGTAACCGGATGGCATTTTAGTAGGCACTTGGAAAAACACCTGTTTAATTAACTCTCTACTCGAACTTCGTGATCGATGGAACGATCGAATGTCATGCGTTCCGTCATTTTTCCCTATAAAATCAACCGCATTATTCTTTCAACAGAAACAGTGGAGCATGATAACGATCCCAAGAACGAATTAAGTTCACCGTCTTTTATGTCCATCATTCTGAAAGTCATGAAATAGCGTGTCAAGGAAATGTTACCCACATGGAGCTAGGGAATTATCCAGAGCAAGCATGTTTGTCCCTAGACGAAGGAACTTCGCCTTCCAGGGACTGAATATATTCCATAGAAGGAATAATTTCAACAAAAATAGCTCCGGTATATCTTTAATCATGAACGTATACAAAGTGGTCGCCGGAGAAACAGTTTTGATTATGCAACTGTCGTTATCAGAACCTAAAACTGCTAATCTTCTGGACTGATTCAATTACATCACTGAGTACCTACGACATAGGAGACTCGTTGGAACAGGAGCTGAAGGGACGAGGAAAGAGTGAGAAAGAGACAGTACTTAAGTCAGAGAGAGAATCAAAGAACTAATTATACGTGACGTCACTCGACTGGTTTCAACACAGAGAGTCGAGTGCAACGAGTCAAGTCACGGCAAGTGGGCCAGAGAAATCCCTCTCTCTTTCTGTTCCTCCTAGCTCGTTTCTTTCTCGCTCGGGATGCAGTCACGACGGAAGCTGCTGCGTGTGCAGCCACAGAGGAATCATCTTGCTCCAGATGAAGTGGGAGGAGGCAAAAATAGATCTACCAAACTTTTATGGACGGTAAATCACTGACGCGTTAGGTTGGTCCGTTGCCACTCGGGACGTCTCTGTCCCAGCCGGGCTGACCAACTCATTAACCATAATAACGCCAGTGACGAATAGGAAATTCAATGAAGGCTTAACAAATAATTAGGAAACACCAAGTGGAAGTCACGAATTTATTCGTCGTTTTATTTTTTTCTACCTTTTTGGTAGAATTCGTGGAACGTCTGAGCAACAGGTTCTCCCAGAACAAAAATTTCTAGATGGAAGGTTGTTTAATGCTTTCTAGTCATTGCGTTAGATATGGATGGATTGATTCGGTATATGGTTAATGCATTCGTTTATCTAGATCATGTAGATCATGATTTTTTTCTCTTGTTCGTTATTAATTCCCATATCAGCCTGAAGCGATACCAGTCTGGAAAATGAAGAATGAAGTGAACGGCGCAGGCATGAGAATTCTAATTGAAGTGGATTCGCGATAAATCAGCAGGAAACTTGCTGAACAACTTAGCATATGTAAGTGCTTTCAGCATTTCCTGGCACACACGAGTAGCTGATAATGGAAGAAAAATTCGAGGTGCCCTCTCTTGTGAACTCTATTCAAAAATATACATATGTATATCATTAAAAATGTCTAGGCTTTACGATTAGTTTAATATTACATCTTATAATATTTAATACAATACTTAATATTAATTCAATTTTGTATTTCATATTATTTTCATTATGAGTTTTGTCAGAAATAAATTATGGGGGAGTTTTTTTAATTACTTTATGCATAACTTTTTAATTATCTTATATCAGACACGAATGCCTAGCCTTGAAACGATGTTAATGAGAAGGAAGATAAACATATTAGTGGCATGAAAATGCAAAGCTTCGTGGAAAAGAAATATAAGCATATATTTTTAACCACATTGGTGTATAATTAGCAAA